TATTTAAATACAAAAATTAATTATTTATTGAATAATTGAATGTTTCTTAAAACTTGAATTTTTATAAAGAATTTTATCAACAAATTTTGAAATAATTGAATTCTTTTGACGAATTTTAATAAAATTTTTAGGAATAATTATATTTTTCAAGGAATTTAATTAAAATTGTATTAAAAATAATTAAAATTCTGCCATGAGTTTTATTATCTATTAACTATTAAGATAATAATTGAATTATTACGAAGTATTTTATAAAAAAAATTTAAATAATTTTTTTCGAAAAAATCTATGCCAATTCATATTTAAATAATTGAATTCTTATGATTAATATTTTTACTTCCAAAAATAATTTAATTTTGCAAAGAATTTTATTAAAATTCCTGAAAATAATTTAATTTTCGGGAAGAATTTTATTAAATTTTTTTTAAATAATTCAATTCTTTTGTTAAATCTTTATTAAAATAGTAAGATATTGAAAATAATTGAATTTTTGCTATAAATTTTCTTAAAATTTAAAAAAAAAACAATTGAATTCTTTTAAAGAATTATAATAACATTTTTAAGAATAATTGCATTTTTCGAGAAATTCATTAAAAATTTTATTAAATATAATTGAATTTTATTGCAAAGAATTTTATTTTATTAAAATTTTTCAAATAATTAAATTTTTTTAAGAATTTTTAATAGAAGTTTTGAAAATAATTAAATTCTTTTAAGAAAAATAATTATAATTGTATTCAAAATTGATGAATCTTTACAAACAAATTTTATCGAAATTATTATAATTAACTCATTTTTTTGGAGAATTTATAAAAAAAAAGTTTTAAATAAATAAATTCTTTTAATAAATTCTATGAAAATTGTATTCCAAATAATTTAATTTCTCTGAAAATTTTATTATTTATGAAAATAATTTAATTCTTTTAAAGAATTTTAATAGAACTTTGAAGAATAATTACAGTTTTCAAGAAATTCATTTAAAATTGTATTAAAAATAATTGAAATCCTGCGAAGAATTTTATTATTAATAAAAATAACTAAATTCTTGCAACGAATTCTATTAACGTTTTTCTTTAATAATTGAATTCTTGGGAAAAATTTTATTATTTATGAAAATAATTTAATTTTTGGAAAGAATTTTATTATTTGGAAAAATAATTAAATTTTTGAAAATAATTGAATTCTTTGAAAGAATTTTAAAATAGTAGTTTTTAGAAGATGAGTGCGAAGTTTGCACCTGAAAATTCTAGTAAAGTTTCCTTTTAAAAATCGTGATTTTATATTTGTTATGTTTATTATTATACGTTTTAGCTTGAATAAAAAATTTCTAAATTTAAAAACTTTGAGTTAATAATATAGAAAAGTTTTTAATTTACAAAAAACAAAAATTTTTTCAAACTTTGCAAAGAGTAAACCTTTTTTTCTTCAACAGAGCATGCAAAAAAATGACATTTTTAAAATGTTTTTCCCTGTAAGAGAATAGAAGAGAATTTAAAGTTGCAGTGAAGACAATAATTGAATCTGTAACACATTTCTATAATTCGCTAAATTAGAAAAAAAGCGGTTTTAGTCAAAATGGGGGAAAATTAAAAAGTCCAGTACAAAAGTGCTCAGATGGGATAGTTTCGTTGTAATTGAAATTTAAAGGAAATGAAATTCGATAGGAAAAAGGGAAAAAAGTAAAAAAACGGAAAGAAATAGAGAGAAGAGAATATTGGCATGGAACTATAAGTTAGTAATACTTGTTTTCGCATAGTCGGAGAGAAGTATATATATATACAAGTATCGAATGACTCTAGTTCGTAGGCGATCCGTTATTGTTGCTATTCCTTTCTACCGATAATAAACGAGGTATAATACTATCACAAATCTTGATCTTCCCAGGCCACTCACGATGTGCTCCATCATTTTCATCTCTAATCGCATCTGTTTCGATCGAATCGATTTCAAACCAAGGAAACAAAATATTTTATAAACTTAAAAATAGTCGCACTTTGTGGCTTTTTTATTTTTTTGCTATTTTTCCGAGAGCGTAAAATTACACTCACAATTTTTTTAATTTCACACATAAGTTTCTTAGATTTCGCATCTTTTTGCATTTTTATTAGTTAGTTTAGTTATAGGTATAATTTTTACATTTTGCAATTATTTTTTTAAATTTTGCATTTTTATTTTAGTTTTAACATTCTATGCTTCTATTTTAATTTTTACATTTTTATTTTACTTGTTACATTTTACGGAAAACTACCTTTTGCATCGTTTCATTTTCATCTCTTACAAGTTTGAAAATTCAATTCCAGATGGGAGAATATCTAAATTTGTATCTAGCACAATTTCCAAACACAATTATTCTGAAAGTTCAAATGAACAAAATTAATTTCTTCTTTCTTGAATTTTTATTTTATTACAACAATAATATTGCGTCAGGTAATAAACTTACGTCAGGTATTAAAAAACAATTTCAAAATGTCTAATTTCCGTTTCTTTTTATTTTTAATGCATTTAGAAATTTTTGCATTTATAGTGGCAACAATTTTCGTTCGTTAATATTTTGGAACTATCCAATCAAACATTTTTTTAAATAATATAAATTTATAATTATATTTTAAAAAAATGTATACTACTGTTATGTTTTCATTAGTTAGAGTATTAAAATAATATTTTTTCTTATATATTCGCTGAGTAGAGTTTGTAAATATTTTACTAATTTTTTAGCAGAAAACTACTAATTTAATACAGTAGAAAACAATTTTAAAAAAATTTTGAAATAATATAAATTCATTATTCTATTAAAAAAAGAACCACTGTTTTATTTAAATATCAATTAGTCTCTAGTAAGTATTAATTACAGTCCGATGTGGTAAACAGTATTAAGATAATATTTTCCCAGATAATGCACCAATTTCCAGAAACTATGATATCATTTTCGCTTGAATATCCCTCAAATTGAGGATCTAAAACAAGCGGAGTTATTATCATCGAAACTTGGCAAGAGTCCAAAATGGAATTCCCCGTGATGGGGGACCAGTTACACAAGAGAATACATCCTATTAATTTTTTATTCTCGCGTCTTTAAAATTCAAACACTTTCTCAATCTTCCCAATCGTCTCAATATATTAAGGACTCATGATTTTTCTCTCAACCATTTTCAAGAATTTATTTATTTACAAACAAATTTTTTTGGACTTTAAAATTTTTTTTTTGAACTTTAACAAACTTTTTTTTTAACTTTTTAAAATGTTTTTTCAGCTTAAAGAAAATGAAACTTAAGTTACCAATGTTTATTCGACAAGATATCGTTGATAAAATTTAATTATTACCACAAATTAAAAAAATGTTTCCCAGAAATTGAATTATTAGAAAATGTTGATAAAATTAATTGCAAGAATTCAATTATTTTTATACAAAATAATAAAATTCATCGCCGGATTACAATGAATTTTAATATAATTTTTAAAATTAATTCCTCAAAAAATGCAATTATTTTTAAAAATATTTAAAAAATTTAATTATTTTCCAAAATTTTAAGAAAATTTATCGCAATAATTCAATTATTCTTCCAAATCATTCAATTATTTTCATAAATAATAAAATTTTTCCTGGAATTCAATTATTAAAAGAAACGTTAATAGAATTAGTTGCAAGAATTCAATTATTCTCATAAATCGTATTTTTGAAGAATTGTAACTAAAAATTTGGAAAATAATTGAATTATAGAATAATTTAGAATTGAAGTTATTACCAGGATGAGAAAAAAAGTGAATATTTTTTATGGAAATTAGGAAACAGTCAAGGAATTACTAAATGAAAATTTTGTGTATGAACTAAGACTAGTTTTTTTAGTCGTTAAATATTATTTTTCGATAGCTACTTTTTACAACTTTTTCTGTTTTAAAGCATGTCTTCTAAAGTTTTGAACGTTCAAATGAACGAAATTTTTTTCCTTTCAATATTTTTCAATATTTTTAAGAAAGGATTATCAAAAATTGAACATATATTAAGAATATAATTCATTTTTTAATTTGTAAATTAATATTTTCTACCAAAATTCAATCTTCAAAAAAATTCGTTTATTTGAACGTTCAGAAATTTAAAGACAATCTAAAGCTACTTTTTGCTATTTTTTTAAAATTAATTATCAAGTGCGAAGGCTGCAAATGTAATAAAATGCGTTTGTTTTTTCTAGCCATATAATTCTTTTTTTATATTTATTGGAGCAAAGGGACAAATTTTCTTTGATTGTAGTACAATTCGCTGTTCAAAATTGTTATTTACAGAGCAAATTTTACTGCTTCTGAAGTACATTTTTTCAAAATTTTATAAAGAAATTTTCGTTCAAAAGAATAGTTGACAAAAATGAAATTAACTGAAAAGAAAAGAAAAACGGAAACAAAAGGAAAAAAGCGAAAATAAACAGGAAAACAAAAAAGTAAACAAACGCGAAAACAAAATAGAAAAAATAATCTGGATATAGATAATATCAGTAAGGAGAGATGATAATCCCCAGAATCACACTACAGACACGAACCCATTTAGCGAAGGATCAAAACTCTTTTCCTGCGTTTAGTTGTTTACTATTAGCAACTGCAATAAATTTTCTTTTCTTTTTTTTAATATTTTGCATTAGCGATGAGAATTAAAGGATTTTGTTTTTCAAAAATAGAATTTCCATACTTAGAGGAGAAAAAAAACGTAAACAGAGAGAGAAAAGTGAAGAGATAGAGTTGAGAGAACGAGTGAAGAGATAGAGTTGAGAGAACGAGTGAAAAGATAAAGTTGAGAGAAAGAGTGAAGAGAGAAGAGAAGCTTTTAGACGTGATAGAAGATGATTTGAAATTTATATTAATACTTTGAAAGGTTCGCTCTTTTGAGAATGTCCAACGACAACGACGACGACGACGACGACAACGACATTCTCTCTGCATATATGCAAAATAAAGTTGGCAAAGTGTTTGGTCGATCGATCTAATGGTTTTTTTTCCCTTTTGATATTTTTCAGAAGCTGCACACCATCGGGGAAGATTTCTGCGGCCTCGACGTGAACACACCTTTAGGCGGTCAAGAGCCAATGATGGCGATACCTGTTTTAACATTTACAACTCATCTTACTGCAGTGGCGGCGACCTCCACCAGTGATTACACGGTCGTCTTCCTAGGCACGAACAAGGGTCATCTCAAGAAGGTCAGTGAAAAATACAATCTTACAAATCTTAATTACAGAGTATCAGGCTAGGTCGGGCGGGGTTATTATCAGAGGGTGGAAATTTAATGCTAAACCATGAGATTGCATTTCACTTCTCTTGAGTACACACATTTTCAACTCAAATTTTCAATACGTAACACGATTGTTTCTATTTTTGGATTTGCTCATTTATTACTGTTCTTCTTAAAACAACTGATCAAAAATGAAACGAAAAATCGACTCCTTTTCAAATGGGGTCATACCAAAAATACCTTTCTGTTTGAACACGTTATTGAATGTTGGTTTAGAATCTGATTCGTTTACTCTTATTTCCGGATTACTTGACCGGAAATTCTAGTTGGCTTTGGTTCCGTTCAATAGATGGGTAGTGCCTTAAATTCTGAATAACGAATTGTTAAAAACGCTAAAATATGAATTGATCAAAACATTTGCTTTTTTTAGCTTTTCTTCAATAACATCTGCTGCAATGTTTTCGTTGATTTCGATTTAATAAATAGTGTAATTCTAATTACATTTGCTAATTGTTGATTACAGTTGATACAAAATTTGTAGATTACGATGCAGCTTCAATTCAATAAATGCGAAAGTATCTTTATCAGCAGATTATACTTGATCGCAAATTTTAGATCTTACTTCAAAATCTATCCAATACTTAATTGCAGATTAGACCATTTTTAGAGTTTTTCTATAGATCGAAAAATACGATGTTGTTCTTAATCATATGGTTCAAGGAGCTGAAACTGGCACCCACTTAATTTTGAAAATTTTTAACTTAAATATTTGTTTAATGCCATCATGAAATTTTGATAAATTAAGTAGATGCTGATAAATAGGTTAAAGCAGCAGCTTTATAAAAAATATTTAACTTTAAAATTTAATTTCCAAAATTAAGTTGGGTGCTGATAACTGAGTGCAAGTTTCAGCTTCATTGATTTTTGTATTTAGCTTCCGTTCAATAATCCATTTGCTGCAATGTTCTTTAATTTTGATTTAAAAATATTCTTTATATTTTATTACTTTTGATACAAAATTCAAGATTTTGATGTAGCTTCGGATCAATAAATGTGAAGGTATCTTAAATATTCATTAGCAGATTATACTACTCAGATTCTATTCAACAGATGCGCAAAAATACTTACCAAATACCCAAAAATTCTGAATAATGGATTGTAATTTAATTTTTGATTTCCACTTAGCTTCTGCTCAATTTATCCATTTACTCCAGTGTTCTCGTTTTTAATTCAAAAAAAAAAAATCTTTCCTAATTTTTTATGGTTTGATTGTATTCGCTAAGTGTCGATTACAGTTGATAAAATATTCTAGAGTTTCGTGCATATTCGATTCAATATAATTGAATCGAACCTGCACTAAAAATCGAATATGCTATTTATGCTTGCTCGGAAATTTTAGATGCTGTTTTAGCTTCTATTCATTGCAGAAATTCCTTAAATTCTGATTATAATTTAGTAAATGTTTAATTCTCATTTACTTTTTGCTTCTTGTTCTTAATTTAAAATCAAAAATTCATTACTAGGTGAATAATTCCGTTATTCTGAATGATGGATTGTACTTTTACATTTTTGATTTCCACTTTGCTTTTGCTGAATTTATCCATTAGCCGGAATGATCTAAACTTTAATGCAGATATAAAAACATCTTGTCTAATTAAAAGATTTTAATTTTAATTTTTTTATTATAATATCTAATTGTTGATTATAGTTGATAAAAAATTCTAGATTTTGGTCCATGTTCGATTCAATAAATGCAAAATTATCAATAAATACTTATTAGCATATTGCAGAATATGCTATTTATGCTTGCACGGAAATTTTATATGCTGCTTTAGATTCTATTCGATGCATAAATTCCTTAAATTCTGTATAACGTGTTTGCTCTTCAGTAAATTTTTGATTGTTATTAAGCTTCAGCTGCATAATAATCTCATGTTCTTGGATTTAATATCTAATCAAAAATAATTCATCATTATTAGTGTTAGTTGATGGGAAATTCAGGATTTTGGTGCAGCTTCGGTTCAATAAATTCAAAAGTATCTTAAATACTCATTTTTGTACTTGATCACAAATTTTTGATGTTGCTTCAGTAAGTATCCAACACTTAATAGCGGATTAAATAAGAAATTTTAGATTTTGGTTGAGATTTTTTCAATGGAATGAAAAATAGTTTAAATTCTGAATAATGAATTTTTCTTAATTATAAATTTATTGTTGTATTTAGCTTGTGTTCAATAATGCATTTGAAGCAATATTCTTTAATTTAGGTTTAAAAATATCGTTTACCTGTATTTGGTTTCAGTTGCTAATAGCTGTTTTGTATAGTTAAAACAAAATTCAAAATTTTGATACTAATCAGCGATTTATGATTGCTCTAAATTTAAGATGCTGTTTCAGAATCTAAAGATGCAAAAATATTCTTTTTAACGAATTGTAATGGATCAAAAATTGCAAAAACTGCATTAGGTTGTGCTTAATATCAATTAAAATTAAAATTAAATTAAGAATACAGAAGTATTCTTAATTTCCCTTCTAACAGATCATGAATGTCAAATTTTAAAATACTGTTTTATTTTCTATTCGTGATAAAATACGGTGGATTCAAAAAGTATCTAGCGAATTGTGTTTTATGCAATGTTTTTGCTGGTTGATTTAGATTCTATGCAACAGATCAATAAATGATTCAAAACTGCTTTTTGTACACCAAGAAATGTATGCAATTGATGCAACAATATTTCTGCCAAAAGCATCTAAATTATTGATTCAAAATGTAGAATTTATGTCATATCCTACAAAATTCCACAGCATATGCTGCCTAAGATGGGAAAATTATTGATTTAAAGCCATGTACTTTAGAATTTATCACATCTTCCAAATTCTCGTGCCTGCTACAATTTTTCTTCAAGTTAATTGTTCACTAACTACAATTTTTGATTTACAATTTTTAATTTTCGATATTTAATCAACATTTTTAAACTCCCTTGCAAAATAAATTACAATTCGTCAAAACGTAAAGAACGAATTCAGATTCAATCAGATTAGACACCATTCAAATCAAACTATCCATCAAAATTACACAACATTCGACCGAAAAAAGAAGTATTTCTTCAGATTATCTATTTTTTCAGCAACAATAGATTATTTTTTCGAAAAATAATTTCAAGTAGAAGAAAAAAAAACACACAGACAAACTGTATAAAAAGAATGATAATATTGAAAGTCGAATGTGAAAAAGAGGAGAATGCAGATTGTTATCTGACATTTCTTGGATGCGTTCTGCAATCTCATTTTGTATTATGCTTATGTATATCCAGAATCACTTTCAATTCAATTTACGCTCGCTAGTTTATAAGCGAGCATACAATGTAAGCTTAATCTTTAGAGACTATCGCCTGAAATGTTGTTAATGACTAAAACTGTATTAGGCTATATGGAGTTTGAACATTATGGTGCATTCGTGTCTTAAACATAACATCTTATTACAGTCGTGCGTTCAAGTAGAGAAAAAAAGGCGACAAAAAATAATAATAATTAAAGACTGCAATACATTTTCCTTTTAAAAAGCACAAAGTTTCTCCAACTATGAGAGGAGTAATTTTTCCATTTTTCAAAAATGCTAATGAGGCAAAATACAACAAAAATTGTCTCATTAATCAGGCGATTAATTTTATTGGGCAAGGTAATTGTACTTTTTCGATTGAATGAGGTACTAATAATAATATTAAGAATAATAATTATTTATTAATTTACAACATGAACGGGTTTGCAGAAAAAAATTGCATTTTTATTTTTTATTTAAATTAATTAATTTACTTCTTCAAATTAAAATTTTATTTCAATAATAATTGCTTTACATCTAAAAAATAAATTACAAAGTTTCTAAATTAATTTTGTTTTTGCTTTTTACTAGTAGTTTATTGAAATTAGAGTCTACTCTCGATAAACTGATTCTCAAAAGACAAAAAGAATTCAAATTATCGAGGATTATATTTATCAAAGATTTTAATTGGCAACATTTTTTTAAGGGATCCAAATTCTCCTTTTTTGAAAATTGGCTCTAACATTAAATCCTCTAATAGATAGTTAAACTAAAAAAATTATTCTCAAAAATTATAATAAAATTCTTAGAATCAATTCAAAAAAAAATTTACAAACAATTTTTTTGAGACGATTCAATTATTTTTTAAAATTATAAAAATATGTTATTCGCAAAAGATTCAATTATTTTTAAAAATAATAAAAGTTTCACATAAATTCAATTAATTTCTTAATATTTATTATTTTAAAAAAATTTCACAAAGAAATTCAATTACTTTCATAAATAATAAAATTCTTTCCAAAAATTAAATTATTTTCATAAATAATACAATTTTTCCCATTAATTCAATTATTCAAAAAACGTTCATAAAATTCGTTGCAATAATTGAATTATTTTATCAAATAACAAAATTTTTCCCAGGAATTCAGTTATTTAAAAAAAATATTTAATAATTATTAAATTCGTTACAAGAATTCAATTATTTTTAATATAATTTTATATGAATTCCTTGAAAAATGCAATTATTCTACAAACTTTTATTAAAATTCTTTGAACCAATTCAATTATTTTTAAAAAATTTTTTGCGAAAATTCAATTATTTTTCCAAATAATGAAATTCTTCTCTAAAATTCAATTATTTTCATAAATAGTAATTTAATTAATAAATTAATTAGTAATTCTTTCCAAAAGTCCAATTATTTTCACAATTAACAAAATTTTTGCCAGGAAAAAAATGTTTAAAATTCGTTGATAGAATTGAATTATTTTCATGAATAATAAAATTCTTCGCAGGATTTCAATTATTTTTAATACAATTTTAAATGAATTTCTTGAAAAATGCAATTATTCTAAAAATTTTATTACTCTATTTTTCGAAAGAATTTAATTATTCAAAAAATTCAATTATTATCTTGATAAATAACAAAATTTTTCTAAAAATTCAATAAATAACAAAATTCTTCCAAGAAATCTAATTATTTTCAGAAATTTTAATAAAATTCGTCGCACGAATTCAATTATTTTTATTAATAATAAAATTCTTAGCAGGATTTCTATTAAAATTCTTCTACAGAATTCGATTGTTTTTAAAAATTTTGATAAAATACTTTATAAGAATACAATTTTAAGAAATAATGAATTAGATATTCTGCCAGTTTTAGGTCAAATTGTAGATAATAATTAAATATTAGAAGCGTTGATTTGTTAGAAATAATTAAATTTCAAAAGATTTTAAATTGCATTCTTTAAAAAGTTTAATTATTGAAAAACTGTTTCACATTGAAATTATAAAAGAAAATTGTCTTTTGAAAAATAGTAATTAAAATTTTTTGAAGAGTGTTAAATTCCCGCAGATAATTTAAACAGATTCAATTACATTTTCAATTAATTGAAAATTTTATCAAATATAATTGAAAAATTTTTATATTTTAATGAATTTCATTTTCTTACCTTTAAGAATTATTTTTAAATATAATCGTATTTTTGAAGAATTCTAACTAAAAATTTGGAAAATAATTGAATTTTAAATAAATGTAGAATTAAATTCATTACCATCATGAGAAAAAAAGTGAATATTTTTTATGGAAATCAGAAAAATTTTAAATAAATGTAGAATTAAATTCATTATACCAGCATGAGAAAAAAAGTGCATTTTTTTTATGGAAATCAGAAAAATGTCTGGAAAATACACTGAGAGAAATGGATAGTCAGATTTTGATGTTAAAAAGATGATGTTACACGATACTATCATTATGCTACTGCCAACCATCACAGATGCTAAAAAAAATATAGTTATGCTACCCCTTACTACCAAGATGTTACTCCTGATGATATTGATGGTAACGGTGACTATCTAGATAGCTGTCTGTATACGTAGCATTAAAGATGGTCACCCTAACCACAATTATGTTACCCACTACTATAAATTTCTCTCCGTGTACTTAATCAAAATTTTGTGAATCCACTTAAATGAATTATTTTAGGCGTCAAATTGAATTTTTCGGTAGCTACTTTTTACTACTGTCTTTCAGTCTTAAAGCTACTTTTTGATACTTTTTTTTAAATTAACTATCGAGTGCGAAGCCTGTAATAATAAAAAGTAAATAATAAAAATAAAAAAAGGTAATAACAGTGAAAAAAAAGTAGGTAGTAAAAATAAAAATTTAATAAAAATAATAGAAACTAAAGAATAAAAATAATAATAATGGTATAATAAATATTTACAGTAAATAAAAAAAACATGAATAACAAAGAGTAAAAAAATGAAAAATTACCAACTATGTGATAAAGTAGTGAATGAGTATTTTCCAGTTAATAACGCATCTGACAAAAGTAATAAAAGTGTTAAACTGAATGTTAAAACCGAAAAGCATAAATTAGTTGTGACTGGAGTTTTGAATATTAATAACTTCGTGTGGAGCGTTCTGGAACTTTCTTGTTTTTGCGAATGTCTCCAGACTTGAATGTGAATTCCGTTTTTGCACATCGTGTATACATATATATATATAAATACATATATATATATATATATATATAAATACATATATATATATATATATGCAACTCGGTAAAACGAGTCTGTAATTTATGAGCTCAATATTCTCATCGTTCGACGTTTCACGCGTCGAACGTGCTGTTTTTCATTCTGAAAGTTTAGCAGTTCAAAGAAGCATAAAGGTGTGCCCTCAATCGCTTTGGCATGGCCTTAAACGCATGAATGTTGAAACTACAAAAGCGAAATTTTTATATTACATGTCATATCTGGTATGCATTACATGTCATATCGTGTCATAACGTTATGCGTCCCTTTTTATTTAGAGTTTTTTTTCTTTTTTTTTTTCTTCTCCCCCACAATATCAATAGTTATTTTTATATAAATTTACATTTTTCATTTTCTTTATATGTATACATTAGAGTAAAAACACCATTTTTTTACTATCAAATTATTATTCATGATTTTTATTACAAATTTTTAAATTTCAAACGTCAATGTTTGAATAATTACAGATTCAAAATTTTTAAAAATTCACTAAATTATTATTATTAAAAATTTTAATAGTAATTTTAATTTAATTTTTTTTAATAATAATTGTAATAATAACGAAAGTTAAAAAAAAGTTATTATCAGTTTTATTATTTGTATTATTTATATTCAATGATATAAAAATAAAAAATCCCTTAATCTTCACTTTTTGTCATTTTTGATAATACAAAATTCGGAGATTGAAATGTAATAAATATTTTTGTGTAAAGCTTTTTGACAAATTTGTCAATAAATTTGATTTAAAACAATGTGAATATTATATATAGCTTCCGAGAGGAATATTCAAGTTGTTTTTTTATTTATTTATTTTTTATTATTTTTTTTTTTATTAATAAATAGAATGATGATGTACAAAAAGGAAATTGCGACACTAAAATAATATCATTTATGGTGCGCACATTTTATTACGAACTGGTCGTATCTGTGTAATAATTCAGATAATAGCTTTTACATTATTTTATATGTTCGTGCGGAACATCAGTATAAAATATTTTTCTTTTTCTAGAAACGTTTTGGAATGCCATTAAATTTTTATAAATATCCATCATCGCAGGATCGAACATCTGTTCCTCCTTTTTTTCACAGATTTTTAGTTTTTCCAGAAATGTACTAAATAATAAAAATAAAAATAGGAAAAACAGTAAAAATTATAAAAATAAAAATAAAATAATAAAAATAATAAAAACAGCAAAAATAAAATTTAAATTTAAAACCAATAAAAATAAAATTAAAATCAATAAAAATATAAATAGTAGGTAAAAAATGGTAAATAGAATACTACATAAAAAAGTATAAATAAAATTAAAGATAATAAAAAAAAACAGTAGAAAAATGAAAATAATAAAATAATTGTAACACTTTCGTTAATAAATAATTATAATTATCGACCGATTTGTTTTGGAAAAACAGGGGAAAATGAAAAATACAACAATGAAAAAGCAACGTGCCTCGCATAATAGAGCATTTAAAAGCGGAAATAATGTGCAAGTTCGGAGTCATCGCTCGGGACTAAACTTTCTTTTATAAGTGCCCCCTTTTATCTTGAAACATTATTTTTAATGATATCATCACGCACTTTAATGGCTTTTATAAATATATCTTAAATCTTCGAAGACATTAACAAATTACATTGTCGTAAATTTTCATGCAAAATATTTTTTTTTGCCATATATAATAACGTATGAAAATTAAAAATAAAGAACAAAAAAAAATCACGCAATTTTTCCCGCATTTAACATTTCCTTTTTTCTGCATCTATGTACTATATGTGTACACTCTGAAAAATGTGAATTAAAAGAAAAACTTTACCAAGTATTCGTATTATGTAAAAAGAAAGGGGGAAAAAATGTTGTGTGAACGATAATTAATATCGGAGAAGTTGACTGCTGTTAATTACTAAAGTCAATAAAATTATGAAAAATTCCTTTTGGACGTGTTTACTGTCCGAAGCAGGCAACCTTTGCTTTTTCCATGGTAAAATTAATTTTCAATCGTCACTATATTATGTAAATAAATATATTATCTGCTTTCTCTTTTACAAAAGGAATCAAATTTTTAGCTCGCTTTTTGGGCATCTCTAATTTTTTTTTGCTATTAATTATTATACATCCTGAAAAGAAGGTATATTTGCCTCGGAGTCTATGCTAAAGTAGTTTTACCCTATTTTATTTATTTTTATTTAATACGAAAAAAGATTTTCAAAATTTAATAAACAAATTTCAACCTACTGGGCTTTTGAAGTCTGCCGTAAAATACTTATAGTGCCACTAGTAAATTGTCCCTGATAAATTTCGAAATATTATTTAGTCAATTCACAAAAAATTTTGGGGTAATATTTTAACACCAAAAGTAGATTAAAATAATCCATCAATGGATTATTTTTTTAATTTTTTTAAAAAAATGATTTGGTGGGTGATTCTCCAGAAAGATTCATTTTTGTTAGATGGAAATAAAGAAAATAAAAATTTAATTTCTGAAGTACATGAAATTATTAAAAATACAATTGTTTCTTGTGGGATTTTTAGAAACACTAATAAACTAATGAAATATTCATTGACAATTTCATTAATTGAGGCTCCGGATCTTAAAAGGGCACTTTCCGCATAGACTTTAGATGGTGAAAGTGCCCTTTTAAGATCCGGAGCCTCAATTATTATAAATATCGAGAAAAATATGAGGACATGCAAATGAATCTATTTGGAGAATCACCCTGTTTTTGATTTAAACACATTTTTTTAATGAAAAAAATTAATTTAATCCTTTTTGGCGTTGATTTAAGCTACAAGGTTTTTTAATAATACCTCTTAGTAAGTTCACTGTGATTCAATATTAAACTTACAAAATCTACAAAAATTGTGTACATGATACTTTTTCAATGCTATAAAGAATTTTTTATGATTTTTTTTCTAAGCCACTGAAATCTATTAGAATTTTTTCAAAATTAAACCTAAAACAAAAAAATTTATTTAATTTTCTAGAAACATCTTTAATTGACATTTCTGAATTCTCTGTTATTTAAAACCATAAATTATGCTGGGAAAAATTAATTTTAAGCAATATAAGGCAAAATTCTTAATTTTTTTATGAGAATTTTGTACCGATAGATGTGAAAAATAAAATTTTGGGTTTAAAATAACGAAAAAGTTCGGATAACAGAGAATCATATATAATCGAGGTTCCATACTGCGACAGCTAAATTTTTATTCTGAAAATTTACAATTATTAGCCAGTAGAGAATTTATAATAATTTTACATCAATCGAGACATAAAAAATGTGCCAATATCTAATAAATATCTATAATTTAGGTAAAACAGTCTTTATAAAATCAAATTTATTATTTCCTTTCAAATAAAAGTACAAATTTAATTGTTAAATATATACAACAAATAGATATCATTTAAAATCAATCTAAAATCCAAAATTTTAGCGCTGTTTTACATAGTTGAAACCAACTAACTGATTTCATAGCCAATCCTGAAATTCTACTTTTACCCATAGACAATGGTGTAACAGTATTAAGTGTAGCTTTGGTTGTTGTCGATTGGGATGCACTTCCTAATGTTGTTTCTTTTGCTGTTGATTCTGCTATTGTTGATGCTGCCGCATCATTAGTAATTGATTCAGGTGTACCTCCTAATGTATAATACCTCCTACTTGCTAATGTTGCTTCTAATGTTGATGTTTCTGGTGTTGTTGTTTTTATTGTTGTTGTTGATTCTGCTGTTGATGATGCAGTTGATGATTCTACTATTGTTGATGTTGTAGTTGTTGTTTCTGTCCCATCAGTTGTCACTGATTCGGATGTACCTCCTAATGTTGTTGATATTAAGTCTGCGCGCTTTGTAGTCTTTAAGGGATTGAACAGGGTTTGCAAAAACGATAATGGATTAGTTTTAGAAGTAGTTATCGATTCGGACGTACTTTCTAATGATTCTTCTGTTGTGGATGCTTTAGTCGTTGTTGATGCTTCCTCCGTGGTTGTTTCTGCTGTTGATGATGATGCTGTTGTTGTTTTTACTGTTGTTGATGCTTCCTCTGTTGTTGATGCTGCAGTTGATAATTCTGCTGTTGTTGATGTTGTAGTTGTTGTTTCTGTCACTGATTCGGATGTACCTCCTAATGTTGTTGATATTAAGTCTGCGCGCTTTGTAGTCTTTAAGGGATTGAACAGGGTTTGCAAAAACAATAATGGATTAGTTTTAGAAGTAGTTATCGATTCGGACGTACTTCCTAATGATTTTTCTGTTGTGGATGCTTTAGTCGTTGTTGATGCTTCCTCTGTGGTTGTTTCTGCTGTTGATGATGATGCTGTTGTTGTTTTTACTGTTGTTGATGCTTCCTCCGTTGTTGATTCTGCTGTTGTTGATGTTGTAGTTGTTGTTTCTGTCGCATCAGTTGTACCTCCTAATGTTGTTGACATTAAGTCTGCGCGCTTTGTAGTCTTTAAGGGATTGAACAGGGTTTGCAAAAACAATAATGGATTAGTTTTAGAAGTAGTTATCGATTCGGACGTACTTCCTAATGATTCTTCTGTTGTTAATGCTTTCGTTGTTGTTGATGCTTCTTCCGTGGTTGTTTCTGCTGTTGTTGTTTTTACTGTTGTTGATGCTTCCTCCGTTGTTGATTCTGCTGTTGTTGATGCTGCAGTTGATAATTCTGCTGTTGTTGATGTTGTAGTTGTTATTTCTGCCGCATCAGTTGTTATTGATTCGGATGTACCTCCTAATGTATAATACCTCCTACTTGCTATTGTTGCTTCTACTGTTGATGATTCTGGTGTTGTTGTTTTTACTGTTGTTGTTGATTCTGCTGTTGTTGATGATGCAGTTGATAATTCTACTATTGTTGATGTTGTGGTTGTTGTTACTGCCGCATCAATTGTCGCTGATTCGGATGTACCCCCTAATATTGTTGAAATTAAGTCTGTGCGCTTTGTAGTCTTTAAGGGATTGAACATGTTTTGTAGAAACGATAATGCTTTACTCGTAGTTGTTGTTTTTGGTCCTGCTGTTGTCTCACATGTTGTCCCTAGTTGATTATTATTTCCGAATTAATTTTCTTCATTATTCTCTTAATTTCATTTATCCCATTTATAAAAATAGTTTTCATAACAAAATATTTCTTTTATATGAACGTTCAAAATTTGTGAATCAAGTTATTTATTTACGTTTATTATTATTTTATTTTTTATTTTCTACAACTTTATTAAATATTAAATACCTATATCATAAATATTTCTTAAATTTATTAATTTCATTTTATTATTGCTTATAAGTGAAAACTGATTTACCTGTCAATAAGACGAGGAGAGTGGAGAAAAGAATGAAAATTTTCACCGACATCTTAACGCAACAGTTTATTTTACAAAAATAAAAAAAATTTCCCAGTAAATGCAATTTTATACTATTTATATAATTGTGTACTTTGCTTTTTTTGTTCACTCACAAAAGGAAACAGAATTTAAAGAATATAAAATTAATTATTCACTACAACTTATTGTTTAATCTCACGCGCTCCTGATTACTTTCAAATTCAAATCGATCGCAAATTCAAATTCTTATTTGACAAAAAAAACTACGTGTTTAATTTTGTAATGTTTAGAAAAAAAACCGATGCAAAATTTTAGATAATAATTTATTCGTAATGAATAGTGTTTTATAAGACAATAACAAAATCATAGTAACAATGTTCCTAAAGTTTTCAACTTTCAGTGAAACAATATTTTTTTTTGTATTTTCACAGTTTTTCTAAGAATATCAAATTGAGACAAAAAACAGGAAAATTAATAACAAAAAGAAAATGAAACCGAAACGAAAATAGAGGAGAGAAAATATGAGAAGCGAAAAAAAACTATGAGTAATATTTATACAGATAATAGAGTGCGATTCTTTTTTAATGGAAACAATATATACATCTGAAAGGGTCTTTTTTTTCTTTTCGAAATTGAACTTTTAATTTTATTGCCATTGCATTGGATAAAAGTGTTGCGGCTACGCCTGTGAGCAATGTGTCGGCGAGTATACATATATTATCGTTTGCGTGGTATGAAAACTAGCTAAGGTAGAGAAGATTCACAAGGTGATTAATAATCTCGGCATGACGCATTGTTCATCGCGATAAATCGTCGGGAGGAGAAAAAGAGATTTTCCTCGATTATTGCAAATGGCGAAACAGTTTGCATCCAGATGGATTTAACAAAAAAAAAAAGAAAAGAAAAAAAAATGTTTTTCTGTGCACCTTGGAATCACACTCACACATACATACATACATCGACAAAATGCCGCAACCCGTCCCGGAAGGATTATTAATTAATAATCGTTCGCACGCGAATGCCGACTCGTTTAACGGCATCGAGTGGCAAGAGGTCGGCAATACATAAATCGAAGGCTCGGCAAGCAATGCGCTACTTACAACCGCGAGGAAATTCGATATCGGCCGTATTAGTCGATAGTTGTTGCGATAGAAAAAGTAAAAAAAAAGGAGGAAAAAAAATCTTTTGACACGACAGGCTCACAGGAATAAAGATTCGCATTAATGCAACAGGCATCCGGTGTCTGACTATCGAACAGTTTCTTGTATCGTTTTATTTATCGTGGAAAATTTATATTTTACAATCACCCTCACCGTGTTGTAACTTTTTCTTTTTTTTCACGTAATCGGAATTTAAATGATGATAAATAATCCTAATTAGGTCAGTATTTTTCCAATTTTGACAAAATTTTTTTTATTTTTTTTTTTAATAACTTTTTTATAGTTTAGAAAAAAAATTAATAACAAATAACAGTTAATAATAAAATAAATAAAAACCAAAAGAATTTGCAATAGTTTTAATCAGAAATAAAAAAAAAATTTCTAAACTTTTAATAAAATTCTTTGAAACGATTCTATTAGTTTCAAAAATTTTCAGAAAATTCGTTGCGAGAATTCAATTACTTTTATTAATAATGAATTCTAAAACTCTTCGCAGGATTTCAATTATTTTCAATATCATTTTAAATGAATTCCTTGAAAAATGCAATTATTCTTCAAACTTTTATTACAATTCTTTGGAAAAAATCAATTATTTAAAAAAAATTTAAGAAAATTTTTTGCAAAAATTCAATTATATTCCCAGATAATGAAAATCTTCGCTGAAAGCTAATTATTTTGAAAATCTACTATTTTAATAAATTTTCACAAAAGAATTCAATTATTTAAAGAAAAGTTAGCAATATTTTTGTCAAGAATTCAATTTTTTTCATGAATACTAAAATTTTCACAGAAATTCAAAAATTGAAAAATATTATGAACATGTTTTGCAAAAATACAATTATTTTTTCGAATAATGAATTTCTTTGATGAAAGTTAATTATTTTTAAAATCTACTATTTTAATAAATTTTCACAAAAGAATTCAATTATTTAAAAAAAAAATTAGTAACATTTTTGGAAAGAATTCAATTATTTTCACTAAATAATAAAATTTTTCCCCGAAATTAAAATTTTTAAAATTATTTTTACAACAATTTTAAATGAATTCCTTGAAAAATGCATTAATTCTTAAAAATGTTATTAAAATTCTTCGAAATAATTCAATTAATTTTAAAATTTTTATACAAATTACTGTATAAAAATTCAATTTTAACTTTTTAAGAAATGATTAATTATTCAATCAATTAATTATTTTTGTATCTAAATAATTGAATTCTCATAGAACTTTCTGTCAAGAATTGATTTAAAATGAATTTCATATAAAATATTAGATATAATCATTGAATATTAAAAGTATTATAGCATGTTTTTTTTAGAAATTATTAAATTTTGAAAGATTTTAAATTATCTGCCTTTCAAAGTTTTAATTGTTGAAAATGTGAAACATAAATTAAATATTTATTATAACAAATTAATTATTTATTATTTTCAAAAAATATATTAAATTTTTGAATAATTTGATGTAGAAATTCTAAAGAAATGCTTGAATTTTGAAAGAATTACAATTGTAATTTTTAAAAATAATTAAATTTCAGAAAGGTTTTACATTGAAATTATTTAAAATATTGATCCCTGTGGAAAAATAACTAAGTATTTAAATATTTATTTAACAAAAATTAATTCAAGTTTTGAATAATTTAGTTTAGAAATTATGAAATAAAATTAATTTTTTTGTAAAATTATAATTAAAATTTAAAATTTTAATTATAGAATTAAATTTAAATATAAATTAAATTAAATTTAAATTTTTTAAAATAATAAATTTCCAATGAATTAAAAATTTTGTAAAATTAAATTGAAATAATTTTTATATTTTAATGATTTTTATTTTTTTACTTTTAAAAATTATTTTTAAATGTAATCGTATATTTTTGAAGAATTCTAACTAATAATTTGGAAAATAATTGAGATTTTAGAAAAATTGAAAATTGAATTTATTACCAGGATAAGAAAAAAGTAAAAAGTTTGTTATGAAAATCAGAAAAAAATCAGAAAATTACAGAATTACATTTTTTTTAGTCGTCAAATTTATTTTTTGATAGCCACTGTTTACTACTTTTTCAGATTTAAAGCTATTATTTATTAATAAAAAGGCCTAAAATAACCATATTTAGGTCTTTTTATTACAAAATGATTAAAAAACAGTTTCAACAAGAAGCAAATAACAATAAATAATAAAATAAGTAAAATAATAAATAAAAAATAAATGAATAAACTCTCTCTCCATATTTCTTGTGCAATTTTTGATTACCCTTTTTTTACCTTTACATTAAATTGATTATCACTCAGCTGATTCATATCAAAGTTCAGTGACCGCGATATTGACATTTTATAATTACGGCGATATTTCTCTTCATATTCGCAGTCTGTCTTTTATACAATATGCATTATCATAGTCTGTCATATCAATTAATATTGATTTTATAAAAATATAATTTATATTTTACCCTGCAAATATCGCTCACATATAATGTACGGGTTGATAATAATTAATTTTTGCATTCACTTTTATTATCGAAAAAAAAAATTTCTCCAATATATTTAAATATATTTTATAAGCAATTTTCTGCATTTTTTCTTTTCACAATATTTTCTTTTTTATCGGAAATATTTTCTTTTCGTAAAATTTATTATAGGTATCGAAAATAAGAAAAAAAATTAAATTTGAACTTGGGAGGAAGAGAATTTTTAATTTCCGGCTAGAAGAAAAAAAATAGTTAAATTAAAAATACTTAATCTTTTACTGAAATATAAAAATTAATTTTTTTTGTTATAGTAAAAAACTAAAAATTATAAAAGAATAAAAAAGTGAAAATAAGAATGGAAATGCGATAAATGGGGAAAATAATAAATATTCAATAGAATAATGTAAAATATAAAGTTAGTAGTTAAAAGTAATAAAATAAAATAAACAAAAAAGTTAAAGGTTAATATAATGTCACGAAGAAATTAGAAAATGTTGAACATTGCAGAGTGTATAGTTTCCTGTGAAATGTGTATATATTTATACACACGAGAAAGGTAAAAACGTTGAAAGCATAAATACATTTATTTTCTTTAGGTTTATAAGCGCGAGGATCACTTTCAATGAGTATTGCACGATGTTGCATTAAAATCAAAACCGTAACACAGTTTTCTTCTGTGTCGAGAGAGAAAGTAAATGCTCAGGATGCGTTTTAACTTATATGTATATATAGTAAAATAAAACGACTACCGATACTCGGAAGATAACATATATAAACTTTGACTCTAGAAAATGAACAAGTATATATGACTCGATGGGACCACCGACATCGATCTACCATAAATGACGTTGCGTTAACGACCAAAAAAAAGAAAGGAATAAAGAAAAAAGAAAAGAAAAACGAAGACGGTCAGTCACGATATTGATAAAACCTTTAATGACATGCCTCTTGAGGGACGTTATTAGAACTAATTGCTATATGCAGCAAAGTTTTCGTGAACAAAACATATTTTCTATTATGTGAAAAAAAAGTTTTTATTTCAGAATACAAGTAACGAAAGAAAAAAAATCAGAAAAAATTTCGATTTACTTTCTTTAATATAGAGAAAGTTGAAATTTGTTTATTTCTTTTTAATTGTTTTTTCAATATCTCAAAAATTGGAATTAATTAGAAATTTCAATTCTTATCGAATTGAAATTTTTTCATCTGATTTTTATGTATCAAAGTTGCCAGCACAAAAATTTGATTTCGTTTCTCTCTGACTTTTCCTGATTTCCAGACAAAATTTTGACTTTTTCTTTTTTCACTGACCCAAAAAAAATATTCTGATTTACTCTAAAAATTATTGGATACTCAAAAAAATGTTCTATTATCATTTATTTATTAATTTCTTTAATTGTAAAATTATTCGAAAACATCAATAACTTCTTTTTTAAATAAATATTTAATTACCACTTTTTTTATATAAATTAAGATATTTAAAAATTTGAAATTCAGTAACA